AGAAATTCTGCCCTCATTAAATAGTGACATCCCATTCCCTCTCCCTGCCCCTGGCAGCCTTTGTTCTGTCCCTGTGAATCTGCCTGGTTTTGGTACCTCATGTAAGTAGTCATAAAATATTTGTCCTTTTGTGTCTGATTTGTTAGAATATTTTTAGGGTTCATCCAATTATAACATATCAGAACTTCATTATTTTTATGACTCAATATGCCATTGTATGTATATACCAAATTTTGTTTATTCATGTTGATAGACACTTGGGTTGTTTCCATCTTTTTGCTATTTTGAATAAAGCTGCCATAACATTGATGTGCAGGTAGCTATTTGAGTCCCTGGGTTCAGTTGTTGGGGTGTATATACATCTAGGAGTGGAAATACTGGATCGTAGGGTCATTCTATGTTTAACTTTTTGAAGAACTGCCAAACTTTTCCACAGCAGCTGTACCATTGTACACCCTACCAGCAATGCTCAAGGGTTCCATTTTTTCCATGTCCTTGCCATTGCTTTTGATTTTTTTTGTACTTAAAAAAAAATTGTGGGTAGACGTGTCCTGAAATTTCCCATCTTAACAGATTTTAAATGTACAGCTAAGTGGCGTTAACTATACACTGTTGTGTCACCAGTCTTCAGAACTCTTTTCATTTTGCAAAACTGAAATTGTACCCATTAAACAATTTACCATTCCCCCTCATATAGCCCCTGGCAACCACCGTTCTATGTTCTGTCTGTGATTTGACTGTTACAGGTATCTCATGTAAGTAGAATCCTAACAGTATTGTTTGTCCCTTTGTGACTGGCTTACTTCATATTGCGTAGTGTCCTACAGGTTCATCCATTTTGTAGCACAGGTCTAATTTCCTTCCTTTTCCATGTAGTAGATACCACATTGTGTTTATACACTTACCCATTTGATTCTGCCTTTTGCTGTTGTAATGCTGTGATGAACATGGGTGTCCAGATATTTCTTTGTCATCTTTCAGTTCTTTTGGGCAGGGTCATAGTTCACTGTAGTTTTACCATTTGGAGGAACAACAAAACAGTTTCCACAGTGGCTGTACCATTTTCATTCCCACCAAGTGCGGGAGGGTCTGGTCTCTATCCTCACCAGTCCGTGTTTTCTTACAGTAGCTGCCCTAGTGGATGTGAGGTCCTATCTCTTTGTGGCCTCCTTTTATTTCCCTAGTGATCAATGATGTCGAGAATCTTTTCATGTGCCTATTGGCCCTATCTTCTCTGGAGAAATGTGTATTTTCTTTCATTCTAAAGGCGGCCTTTTTACTCTGTTGACTGTATCCTTTGCAGTTTTTAATTTTGATGTAGTCCAGTTTTTTTCTTCCATTGCCATGATTTTGGTATCAAATCCAAGAAATCATTGCCAAATCCACTATCATAAACTTTTCCCTAGGTTTTGCAGTTTTAGCTATTAGAGAGAACTTAAATTGTGATATTCTTAACATTTTAACAATTTCTTTTAACAGACTGTGTCAAATTCCTCTTCACCTTATGCAGTATCCAGCCCGAGCCATAAAGGTTCTCTTGGCAGGGTTTAAACCTCCTTTAAGAGATTCAGGAAAGACAAGAATACCATATTGTCCCCAGTGGAGCATGGAAGCATTGTGGGCCATGATAGACTGTCTTCAGGGAAAACAACTTTATGCTTCTTCCATGGTGAGTGCATCTTAATTAGCCAAAATAACTTTAGAAGCCATTTTGAGGGTATTAACTTTCTAAAGTGCTTTCTACCTGTGCAAACATGCTTTAACTAAAGCTTCTATAAACTATAGGATTAATTTTAAGGCTTGTTAAAATAATGTCTTAATGTTTTCAAAACACTGTTAGCCCTACAAGGACTTATCAGTGATGTAATGAGTAAGATAAAAATTATTAAGATGAGGATCCTGTAATCAAAGAACTTACAAGTTAATGAGGGAAACCAGTAATTAATGAGGCAGGATGAAGTACTTACAAGAGAACTTGGCAGGGGCTGGGGTGGGAGGTGTGGGGAGGGACAAGGAGGAATGATTTTTTCCATCTGGAAAGATCAGGATATGGTGTTTGAGCTCCTTAGTAGCCACTCAAGTGAGTAATTCAGGCATTTACTGAAGCGGGACAGGAAAGTGACATTAAGCTGTAATCTAAAAGTAGAAAAGACCAGAATGGGAGTTCTGGTCAAAGTCATAGAAAGCCTTGAATTTTACTAACTTTGATTTAATGCAGTAGAACCTATATCAAAAGGTTCAAGTAAGTCCCTGGTTTCACTTGTTCAAAGACAGGTAATTGCAGGGACAAGCTTTTTCATTAATTGTATTAGAGGGATCTCTTTAAAAAAAACAAAAATAGGTTCAAATAAGAACTCTAGATAGTGTTTAGTATAAATATACTTTTCTTTAGAGGCTTAGCATATCACAAAGGGATAGCCCACTGGCAATATCTAGCCTGCACCTACGTTTTACTTAATGCACAGTGTTTTAAAATTGGAAAATTTTACTAAAAGAATGTGTTTATGACTTCTGGTTAACCTCCCTTCCAAATTTAGGCATAAAGATATAAATGCTTTATATGTAGAATATAAATGAATTTTAACAGGAATGGTAGTGTTAAAATCCATTAGCCTAATCTAGGAAAACTGCAGGGAGGAGTTAACATTTTAAATAAAGTATAAGAATGGGAAGAATGGGATTTAGATCATCACAAATACCTTTTGAAATTAGAGTATAAATTGTAAATAAACTTAAAGAGAATGCCTTTTCCCTCCTATGTGACGGAGGCCAGATGTAGAAGAGAAAGTAAAGATGTTGTTGTGTTTTAATTTTAGGCTCAGGCACCAGAACAAATAGTGACATTATATGAAGATAAACAGCATCCCGTTCATATGTCCTTAGTAGAAATGGGGCTCGCAGACCGAGATGAATGACGTAAGTGTCCCGACTGCTTGTTCGCCAGTACAGGCAGCGCAGGGCGTGTGTGGCTTACAGCCAGGATCAGTGCTGAACTGCCCATAAACCTTTCAGCTTTTCTTTGGTTTCTCAGAGGAATGACAACAAAGCTTGACAAGAATGTGTCTCCTAGACTTCTTCGTAGGCCCTTCTCACCTACTGAGTAGGAGAATCAGAGGCTCCATATCTGTAAGAATGTTTGGCGTGGCTGTCATGAATATTCATAGTACCAGACAGTTAAGGAGATAGGCAGAAGAGCAGAAGGAAATGGGCATTCTAAGTAATTTAAGCATGTAACACTACTGAACAATCAATATCCTAACAAAGTTATTGAAAGTACTTGGGTAACCAGCTCACTCTGTATCTGCTTACATAAACCTACTAATGATTCAGTATCTAGAGTTGAACATAAGCAAAGGTTTAAAATAACACACATTTTATTTTTCAGGTATACAGTGCAGGACATCTATAGCATCCCAGAAGAAAGTTTTCTGTCATACGTGACCATTTCAGGCTTATTTTTCTTTTTCTTAATGTGTTCTGCAAACTGCTGGCCTTTTTTTTTCTTTGCTTACATGTTGAATTTTTAGAACTGTTTGAAAAATGTTAATAAATATTTGCTTTAAAATGTTTTATTTTACTATGATTTCAAATCAGATATTTTAGGTACATGAAAAAATGTTCCCTTCATCTTATAACTAATGTATATTCAACTTACATAATAGGATACTGTCAGTACTAGCAAAGGCCCCGGGTGCTCTTCCCGTCATTCTCCCCGAGGAGAGCTGAACACTATGGTGACTTTGAGGTTCATGATTCTTATGTAGGTCTTCACAGTTTTACTGTGTATGAAAGCAGCCATAAATAAGACAAGCATTGCTGAGTATTTTAAGTGTGTACAGTACCACACAATTTTATTTCCTCACTGCTTTATTTATCCTGGTTATCCATGTTGGTGTGTGCGGCTCTAATTCCCTTTCACTGTACATTCATCTGTGCACATGGTTAATTCTGTTGAGAGATACTTAGTTGTTGTTTTTTCTCAATTACAAATACTCTTCTGTAGGACCCTGTGTACATCTGAGTGGTTTTCTGTATGTATACTTAGTAATGGAATTTACTAGGTCATGGGATCAATGCTTTCCAAAAGTGGTATTACCAGTTTACTCACCATCAGCAGTCTGTGTTCCTTGCCAACACATGGTGAGGCCAGACCAATACTTCCCAGTATGTGATACTAATATAAAAATGTGTCTCATTACTTCAGTGTACATTCATGGGCTTAGAAGTCTTGGTCACCTGTTTGCTTGTTCATATCCTTTATCCACTTTTCTATTGAGTTGTTTGTAATTATCTTACTGATTTCTAGGAATCTTTATTCTGAATATTAATCCTTTGTCAAGTATCTTCTAGTCTGTGGCTTTTCTCTTTTGTGGTATCTTTGGACAGACCACTCATTTATCAGCCTTTTAAGGTTTGTGCTGTATCTCACTTAAAAATCCTTCTCTGTCAACAGGTAGTATATGTAACTCATTTTCTTTGAGAAGTTTTAAACATTTTTCATATTCAGTTCTTAAATCACCTGGAATTGATATATTTAGCTTTTTTCTTTAAATTGAGTCATTGCCAACACTGTTCTCATTACTGCAGTAAGTGACTTGACCAATCTATAATTACTATGTTACATGTAAGTGTCCTTCCTTCAAGGACAGCTTGTCTTCTGTGACCTACAGTCTGTCTTACAGGTATGCACATCAAGGCACCTGTGGTTGATCAGTTAACACCAGCTATGCACCCTCCATTCTCAAGTGTCCCATTTTGACCAGTTTATAGTAACCTTTGTTACAAGTGCTTTCTCCTATGAGATTGCGTACTCACAGAACTCTTTTGTCTGTCCTATTGTTTCACCTATATTTGTAGTCACTTACTGTTCATGCTTCCCATTTTATATCACAATTAAAGAACCTCTACAGTAGATAAAATGCTTTAATAGTAGTTGAATATACTAACATTCTGACTGGAGAAATTATCACTCCTTGAGTAAATTTAATTAAGCCCTTGTTCTATGGCTGATGTACTGGTGAAAATCTTTGTGCTATTTTATTTATTGTACTTACTGGTTTTTATAAGCATCTATCCTTAAGAGAAGTACCCACTTACTATTTTTACAGTCTATACAGTTTATAACAAAGTAACATTGTTTTCGTTAGTCATGCATTTAGCTGTAGAAAGACAGGGTAGGTAAATTAAAATGAAGGCTGTCCCTGCGCATTTCAAAGAGTATTTTTTTTAAAGAGTATGAAGTTTTATTTATGTTTTCCATTTATACACAGACACAAAATATATATAAATTAAACCACAGAATTCACAAAAATGTACATTTTTAAACAAGAAAATCATGTTAGTGTTATTTCTTATTAGTCATGCACAAAGATTATTAAAACTTTGTGTCCATAAGAACATTACCATCCTTGTCTTTAACCCTTATTTGACCAGACGAATATTTTGTTTCTTGATGACCATTTATATATACAGTTTTGACAGTGCCATCTGGATATTCCCGTCTCTTGAATTGGGCAGTATGTAGTTCTCTTTGGCCATTATTAAACTCTATGATTTTGTTGCCGTTTCTGTAAATTTAAAATAGAATTTAATAACATAAAGTGTGCAATAGGAAAAAGGATTTAAAAGCAGCCTCTGATTTGGGCAGTTCTCTCTTCTCTGACAGCACCTTTTCCCTGCACAAAACCTCTGCAAGATTTTTCTAGTGTTTATGCATCAGGCTGACAGTTCCAGTGATCAGATTTGCTCTTAAATGTGCCCATGAAACATCTTACTACATTGATGGACAGTGACTTCAATGGGGTATGGGGAGAACTTAATAAATATGGGTGAATGTAGTAACAACAACGTTTTTCATGTGAAACCGTAAGAGTGTATATCAATGATACCTTAAAAAAAAAAGTGATCAAATTCTAAAATATTAAAATATTTGTTTACTTAAAAAACAAAAACAAAAAAAACAAAGCAAAACTGAAGGAACAAAACAGCAGCAGACTCACAGACTCCAAGAAGGGATTAGTGGTTATGAAAGGGAAGGGGGTTGGCGGGGACAAGAAGGGGATTAAGGGGCATTGTAATTTGCAGTCACAATATAGGTAGGTCACAGGGAAGGCAGTACAGCACAGAGAAGACAAGTAATGACTCTATCTTACTACACTGATAGACAGTGATTGCAGTGGGGGGTGGTGAGGACTTGATAATATGGTTGAATGTTGAAACCACAGTGTTGTTCATGTGAAATTTCATAAGATTGTATATCAATGAAACTTCAATAAAAAATAAAAACTGTGTCCATGAAAAATTTTAATGAACCTATACATCTGTTCTGCCTCTCAAAAGAGTTGGATGTGGTATTAAGATAGGGTTTTCAGTTTTGACACTTACTCTTTGCACTGAGTTAAAAGTGAAGAATATTGGCTCGCTCTTATTTTGGAGAAGAGAGCTTAATTCTGGGAAAGGAGCTTGAGCAGAATTATGATCTGTTTTGAAGCAATGGAACAAAGAAGCAGACTGTGGGAAAGTTAATACCAATTTGATAGCTTTATGTGTGGGGGACATTCAAACTGAACCCCAAAATACAGGTATAATGTGCTGTTAGAAATATGAAACAAGGGCTAAAGATGGTGAATGACCACTTCTTAACACAGTAGTTTTTCTCTGTTTTCGTTATTTCTCAAATGTTGTATATAAATTGACATATAAATTGTCAGACTTAATAGCCATTCTGAGAGCCACTCCCTTGTCATGTGTGGCCCCTGACCCAGGGATGCCAGCGTCACCCGGGAACTCATTAGAAATGCCAGTTATTGGGATGGGCCCCAGCAATCTGCATTTGAACAATTCCTCCAGGTGATCCTAATGCACACTATAGTTGGAGAACCACTGCCATAAATCAAAAATGCCAAAATAATCCTGAATACCTGGGATCTGCTTGAGAATAGATGAAAAAAGATTGGCTATGAGTCAATGATTGTTACCTGAGTTTTTCATACTATCTTCTTTTTATTACAGAAAATTTTAAATATAAGAGTTAAAGAAAGCCTGAAATTTCTGAAATCAAAGCATAATGTACATACAAAATTTTCCTCAAACTTGAACAAATTCCTATTTATGTAGTTGAGCACAAGATAAAGTTTTATACCGTGTTAAAGGGGAAAACATGACCTTAAGAAGTTCTCATGTTATTCAAATTAGTGTTTTGTCTTTTTCTTTGCTATGGCTTATATCAGAACTCAAGTTAATGGGTACTTAATTGTCACACTTGAGGAGGGCACTAGACAGACATGCCTTCATGGTTTTAAATAAAATAGTGAATAGGCACAGGTCTTCACTGTCGACAGAGGAAGTCACAGAAGAAACCTCTAACTTGAGGAAATGTGACACCCAGAAGAATAAATAAAGAGGTAGGTGATTTTAAAGAATTGGGTCAAGGAGGCCAGAGGAGTAAAGTGCTGTGACTGGGATGGAGACCCAGAAAAATCAAAACATAACAGAAGAGAATCAGTCTTATCCAAGCTCTGCTGTCACTGTGTGGTTATTATTTTTATTAAGGTATCATTGCTACATACTCTTATGAAGGTTTCACAAGAAAAACAGTGTGGTTATTATGTTCACCCTTACTATTGAGTCCCCCGCATACCCCATTGCAGTCTGGGTGGTTATTCTCAAAAACTGACAGGGCAGCTTTCCTTCTTTGTATCTCATTCAAAGGTTTCAAATTTCACCAAATTTATTTCTAAATAAGTACCATTCCCTTCCCCTGAGGTGCTGTGCAGATTCCATTTAACTTTCTAGGCTAAAGGCTGACTGTATATTCGAATTTACATCTCAAATAACTTCTAAACCCCCAAATGCTGAAAACTTTTCTTACCTCCTCTCAAAGTATGTCTTGCTCACTTGAAATTCTGGATGACTTACACATATACAAATGTTTTAAGATTTAAGAAATTCCATTGGCAGTAAAAGTTGAACCATGAAAACTGAAAAATCTAGAAACAAATTTACAGGTATCATACCGTTGTACTCTGACAATTGTACCATCTGGGAAGATGCTTTCTTCATGTCCATCAGCAAATAAGTTTTTGATAGTTTGGTCAGGAAATGTGATTTCTTTTCTTCCATCTGGGAAATGTTTTTCTGCTTAAAAAAGGTTTTTGTTAAGTGCTTTATTTTTAAAGGAAGGGAAGAATTTAATAAGGAGAGGGTAGAGCAAGTTTTCACCTATTTGTCCGCTTGAGAAATGTAAGACTTGTAGTCCTTCTGGGTAAGTAGTGTGAGTGATCTGGGCGGCTGCGTAGTAGTAGATCTGTAAAGATGCACAGTCAGTAAGCCTTCTGTCCAGAGACACTCAAGCTGTGGGGAAAGCACCCCTGTGGGGACCTACCACTCTCTTGTCTGGCAGGACCCGCTTCACATCGCCATTGAAGAAGCTGACAGTGACAGTCATCCCGTCTGCACTCACTTCTTTTTGAGTTCCATTTGGAAACAGTATAAGACGGCATCCATTCTTATAAACCTTTTCTATCTGCAAAAGATCCCAAGATTTTCACTATGTAAAATTTCCTCCTGAGAACACATGACAAAAATATCCCTAGTTCTCTTCCTAATTGGCTACCTTGGGATTTTTCATAATAAAAAGTAAACACATTCTTTCAAAAGGAGGAAAAAAGTAAACTCATAACTCAAGTATCAAAACATCACCAGTGTTATGTCACCTATTCCCCCAAAACAACCTCGTTTTTGATGGAGTTTTTTTTAAAGCCAACTGTTGTCAGCACTTCACCTGAAAACTTTAACCAAACCATTACTGCCCCTAACAAACTAATGGCTCCATCATACTGTAACCATCACGTTGGTTTTCCTATATTCATGAAGCAAATCTTTTACAGTTTGAGTCAGGATCGAATCAAGGTCTGCACACATGCTTGGCTGGCATGTTTAATGCCCTCTGCTGCCCCCCCCCCACCTTTTCATGCCAATTACTTGTTGAAGGAGCTGGATAAATGAACACACAAAATTTCCCACATTCTGGATGTGGCTGATTGCTTTCCTATTATGGTGTCATTTAACATGTTCTTGTATTCTTGTATTTCCTTATCAAAAAACTACAGTTGACTCCTGAACATCATGGGTTTGAGCTGCAAAGGCCCACTTATACATCGATTTTTTTCAACAAATACATTGGAAAAAATTTTTGGAGATTTGCCACAATTTGAAAAAACATTTTCTATAGTTTACTTTAATATGGTATAAAATACATATGCAAGACTATTAATTGATTATGTCATCGGTGAGGCTTCTGGTAAACAGCAGACCTAAATTTGGGGGAGCCCAAAGTTACAGATTTTTTAACTATACAGGAGTTTGGTGCCCCAATCCCTATATTTTTCAAGGGAACTGTACAGATAGATCTAGAGGCTTGATTAAATTCTGGGTGAATTATGCTGATAAGAATATTTTAGGTGCTGCTGTGAGCTTCTCATAGCAACACATTCAGAAGTACAGGATGCAGTTGTCCTCATGACCTCAGGTCTGACGGGGTCCTATCAGATCTGCCATGAAGCTCCACCAACCTTTCATCTATGGTTTCAGTAGTCATTGATGCTTTATTTGATTAGAGATGACAATTCATATTTCTCTAATTTTCTCTGTCCTTTTCCATTTATTTGCTGGAAATCCTCTAAAAAAAAGGTCTTTCCTCATTAAAAATGTGTTGGTCTACAGTTTGAACAGGGAAGTACACCTCCTTTTTGACTGTTCTTTGTCTTTCCCTTTCCTCAGAACTACAGTGGACATTGGCCTTATAATTTCAATTTAAATGGACCTAAGCAGGGTATTCAGAGAAGTAAATTTTCTATAAACTTGAGGAAAAATTTCCTCCTCTCCTCCCTGCTAATAAATCCTGCTTACGTCCCTTCCGTTTTCCTTCTTCTAGCTGGAACACTCAGCCAGGCAGTTTGCCCACTCAAAACCTTTCCTAAGCATAAGAATAAAATTGCGTAGCAGGAGATGGAGAGGGAGGCACAAGACCCAGGATAAATTGAAGAAAGGCTGTACGAATCAGAAAACATAAAGCCTTTCAAAAAGTACCAAGGATTTCAGTTATGTTCAGAGGAAGAACAAAAAGTTGAAACAAAGGGATTGTATTTCTTTTGCTGCGTCTCTACAGTAGAAATGGCAACTAGTTGCATGTCATGTATTTCTCAGAGTCCAAAGGCTTAAGTCAAGATCTTGCCCCAAGGTACTCAAGTTCTTTAAGCCCCAGTCTTAAAATATTTTAGGATCTAAGCAGTTCCACTCTTTTTTAACCCATGTTTATTTTTTATAGTATTATTATTTTTTAATGTTTAACCTTTCCATCAGGATGACTGATTTCTCCCTGAATTCCTTCTTTTTCCTCTTTCTCATCATCCTCTTTATATTCAGGATCTGTGATGTCTGCTGGTTCAGAGGATTCCCTGGGTGAGGCAGTCTGTAAGGACAAAAGGCGCTCATCTGTCCTAATGAACATGTAATACCATTTCAAGCAGCTAAAACTTACACTTACCCCCAAAAGTCAGGTTCTATTATAATAGGGTTCTTTGACTTATGTTTGAAGTTACATAGAAAACATTTACAATAACTAAAAAAAGCCTCCTTTTCAAATAGTTCTAGAAGTTTAAGTAAGTTAACTAATCAATTTCAAGCCTCAATCTATGTTGGAATATACAGAAACAGAAAAAGATTTACTTGTCCTTTATCCGGATTGCCTAAAACATGAGGCGGCACAGACTTGGATCTCCGAGATGGATTGCCTGTTAGAATATAATTTTCAGAATTAGTTTTCGTATTTAACTCAAAATTCTAAATTTACTTAATATTACATTCAAACATTTTCTTAGTGAACTGCTGTCCTTACCCATTAATTAAGGAAGTCTTATTATCTTTCTTTAATAATTCATAGTTCTTCATTATATAAGTTCAAACATTTTTTTCATGTACTTAAGTCCTGGGCAACCAAGAAAGGCAAAGACAATATCTGTTCTGAGAGTTTGGATGAAGAGACAGCTGCTCAACTAACCTAAGAGACGGACCCAAATGTATTTTGGAGATAATTACATAACTTTAGTTAGAAGCTAAGTGTGAGGTAGAAAAAACAGAGGTCTCTAAGAGTACTTGTAGAGTATTTTGCTTGACAGAATAACTGGGTATTTAATTAAAATCTAGACCTAATGGCTGCGGTCTAAACTTTTTAAGATCATGACCAGCACTCCAACCATATACTGTATCAGTACATATATAATAAGCATACACACACAACCACCATCACTGACAACTACCACCTGAGGCGAATTTTTAAAAATATACTAATGTTCTAATATTTTCTTCCTAGATGGCAATGGGTCGTATTATAAACACTCCCAAATTCTAAATATTTCGAGCATGTTAAAACTGTAATAGGTACTAGAAGCTGCAGGGAGAACAGGCTGGAGAAGAGTAAAGGCAAGAGAGCCCAGTCAGGACCCTGGCTGGCAGGCGTATGTATGAGAAGGCTTGTGTGGCACCGAGGAGACGGAAACGTTGCAACCTCTCTCTGTGTCAAATTGTGACCAGATATCTAGGTATAACAAGGGTAAATGGGGAACTCAGAGCTGAGGGTTAATATTCTTGGCTAAATCATTTGGCAGAACAAGATGTTGCGGAGGAGCTGTTCTCAACTGCAGGAACGCCTCTGGATGCCACCTGGGGCCGCCTCCCTGTTGCCAAGGACTGAGAGTTTTGGCCAATTGCAGCTGCCCGTCATCTGAGCACCAATCAGAATTGTACAGAGTTTTCACATCATCTGCATAATTACATACCAACTAGAATTATACTGAATGTTGTGTGCATTTAAAGACCTGCTTTGAACACACGTCTTTCAAAGCTGTCCCACAGTGTTCTCCTTACTGCAAGTAGTGACTTCTGTTTCTTACCATCTGGCTCAGTTGACTTTTTTTTTTAATCTTTTTTTTTATTAAGGGATCATTGATATACACTCTTATGAAGGTTTCACAAGAAAAACAATGTGGTTACTACATTCACCCTTATTATCGAGTCTCCCCACAAACCCCATTGCAGTCAGTGTCCATCAGTGTAGAAAAGTGCCAAAGTCCCTACTTGTCTTCTCTGTGCTACACTGTCTTACCCGTGACACCCCAACATACCATGATACCCCACAATACCCTTCTCCCTGCCACCCCACCTCCCCCCAACCACTCCCCTTTAGTAACCACTAGTCCCTTTTTGGAGTCTGTGAGTCTGCTGCTATTTTGTTCCTCCAGTTTTGCTTCGTTGTTATACCCCACAAATGAGGAGAATCATTTGGTATTTGTCTTTCTCTGCATGACTTATTTCACTGAGCATGATACTCTCTAGCTCTGTCCATGTTGTTGCAAATGGTAGGATTTTTTTCTTCCTTATGGCTGAATAGTATTCCATTGTATATATGTACCACATCTTCTTTATCCATTCATCTACTGATGGACACTTAGGTTGCTTCCATATCTTGGCTACTGTAAATAGTGCTACAGTAAACATAGGGGTACCTATGTCTTTTTGAATCTCAGAAGTTGTTTTCTTTGGGTAAATTCCTAGAAGTGGAATTCCCAGGTCAAATGGTATTTCTATATTTAGTTTTTTGAGGAATCTCCATATTGCTTTCCACAATGGTTGAACTAGTTTACATTCCCACCAGCAGTAGGAGGGATCCTCTTTCTCCACATTTTCACCAGCATTTGTTGTTCTTAGTCTTTTTGATGGTAGCCATCCTTACTGGTGTGAGGTGATATCTTATGTGGTTTTAATTTGCATTTCCCTGATAATTAGCGATATGGGGCATATTTTCATGTGCCTGTTGGCCATCTGAATTTCTTCTTTGGAGAACTGTCTGTTCATATCCTCTGCCCATTTTTTAATTAAGTTATTTGCTTTTTGGGTATTGAGATGTGTGAGCTCTTAATATATTTTGGATGTTAATAACACTTATTGGATATGTCATTTATGAATATATTCTCCCATACTGAAGGATGCTTTTTTATTCTACTGATGGTGTCCTTTGCTGTACACTACCTTTTTCTTTGATATAGTCCCATTTGTACATTTTTGCTTTTGTTTCCCTTGCCTGAGGAGATGCGTTCAGGAAAAAGTTGCTCATGTTTATATTCAAGATATTTTTGCCTGTTTTCTTCTAAGAGTTTTATGTATTCATGACTTACATTCAGTTCTTTGATTCATTTTGAGTTTACTTTTCTGTATGGGTTAGACAATAATCCAGTTTCATTCTCTTGCATGTAGCTGTCCAGTTTTGCCAACACCAGCTGTTGAAGAGGCTGTCATTTCCCCATTATATATCCATGGCTCCTCTATCATATATTAATAGACCATATATGCTTTTTTATCTGGGCTATGGGTCTGTTCTTGTGCCAGTACCAAATTGTCTTGATTACTGTGGCTTTGTAGTAGAGCTTCAAGTTGGGGAGCGTAATCCCCCCAGCTTTGTTTTTCATTGTCAGAATTGCTTTGGCTATTCGGGGTCTTTTGTGGTTCTATATGAATTTTAGAACTATTTGCTGTAGTTCATTGAAGAATGCTGTTGGTATTTTGATTGGGATTGCACTGAATCTGTAGATTGCTTTAGGCAGGATGGTCACTTTGACAGTATTAATTCTTCCTATCCATGAGCATGGGATGTATTTCCATTTATTGGTATCTTCTTTAATTTCTCTCATGAGTGTCTTTTAGTTTTTAGGGTATAGGTCTTTCACTTCCTTGGTTAGGTTTATTCCTAGGTATTTATTTTCTTTTTGATACAAGTGTGAATGGAATTGTTTTCCTGATTTCTCTTTCTGCTAGCTCATTGTTAGTGTATAGGAATGCAACAGATTTCTGTGCATTAATTTTGTGTCCTGCAACTTTGCTGAATTCAGATATTAGTTCTAGTAGTTTTGGAGTGGATTCTTTAGGGTTTTATATGAACAATACCATGTCATCTGCAAACACTTACAGTTTAATTTCTTCCTTGCCAATCTGGATGCCTTTTATTTCTTTGTGTTGTCTGATTGCTGTGGCTAGGACCTTGAGAACTATGTTGAATAAAAGTGGGGAGAGTGGGCATCCTTGTCTTGTTCCTGATCTCAGAGGAAAAGCTTTCAGCTTCTTGCTGTTAAGTATGATGTTGGCAGTGGGATCGTCATATATGGCCTTTATAATGTTGAAGTACTTGCCTTTTTATACCCATATTATTGAGAGTTTTTATCATGAATGTATGTTGAATTTTGTCAAATGCTTTTTCAGCATCTATGGAGATGATCATGTGATTTTTTTCCTTCTTTTTGATGTGCTTGATGACATTGATGGATTTTAAATATTGTACCATCCTTGCATCCCTGGACTTGATCATGATGGATGGTCTTTTGGATGTATTTTTGAATTCAGTTTGCTAATGTTTTGTTGAGTATTTTTGCATCTATGTTCATCAGGGATATTGGTCTGTAATTTTTTTGTGTGTGTGGTATCTTTGCCTAGTGTTGGTATTAGAGTGATGCTGGCCTCATAGAATGAGTTTGGAAGTCTTCCCTCCCCTTCTACTTTTTGGAAAACTTTAAGGAGGATGGGTATTAGGTCTTCACTAAATGTTTGATAAAATTCAGCGATGAAGCCATCTGGACCAGGGTTTTGTTATCAGGTAGTTTTTTTATTACCAATTTAATTTCATTGCTGGTAATTGGTCTGTTTAGATTTTCTGTTTCTTCCTGGGTCAGCCTTGGAAGGTTGTATTTTTCTAGATAGTTGTCCATTTTCTAGTTTATCCAGTTTGTTAGCACATAATTTTTAATACTATTTTCTAATAATTATTTGTATTTCTGTGGTGTCCATAGTGTTTTTTACATCTCATTTCTGATTCTGTTTGTAGACTCTCATTTTTCTTGATAAGTCTGGGTAAGGGTTTATTTTGTTTATTATCTCAAAGAATTAGCTCCTGCTTTCATTGATTCTTTCCATTCTTTTATTTTTCTCGATTTCATTTCTGCTCTAATCTTTATTATGTCTCTCCTTCTACTGACTTTGGGTCTCATTTGTTCTTCTTTTGCTAGTTTCATTTTTTGTGAATTTAGACTCTCCACATGGGATTGTTCTTTCTTGAGGTAGACCTGCATTGCAATATACTTCCATTAGCACAGCCTTAGCTGCATCCCACAGATTTTGCGATGTTGAATTATTGTTGTAATTTGTCTCCATGTATTGCTTGATCTCTTTTTATTTGGTCATTGATCCACTAGTTATTGAGGAGCATGCTGTTAAGCCTCCATATGTTTGTGGGCTTTTTTGTTTTCTTTGCATAATTTATTTCTAGTTTCATACCTCTGTGATCTGAGAAGCTGGTTCGTAAAATTTCAATCTTTTTTAATTTACTGAGGCTCTTTTTGTGGCCTAGTATATGATCTATTCTTGAAAATGTTCCATGTGCACTTGAGAAGAATGTGCATCCTGTTGCCTTAGATGGAGTGTTCTGTAGATGTCTGTTAGGTCCATCTGTTCTAATGTGTTGTTCAGTGCCTCTGCCTTACTTATTTCCTGTCTGGTTGATCTGTCCTTTGGAGTAAGTGGTGTGTTGAAGTCTCCTAAAATGAATGCACTGCATTCTATTTCCTCCTTTATTTCTGTTAATATTTGTTTCACGTATGTAGGTGCCCCTGTGTTGAGTAAACAGATATTTATAATAGTTATATCCTCTATTTGGACTGACCCCTTCATCATTATGCAATGTCGTTCTTTG